CTGACGTACTCTCATCGATCGCAGTGTACGTGTAAGCTTGCATACATGCGACAACTTCGCAAATGCTTCCACGTCGTTACCGCGGCAATTCTTGATCACGGAAAGAGTCCAGACAACGGATCTTAAACCGCTGCAGCTTGTAAAAACTAAATGAAGTCCTCCACTACATTAGCTGCCAGTTCCGTATGTCAAATCGAACTTTCGGTCGCATGAATTTGTGTTGACTTTCTTTACAATAGCTTTGATCATAAGTTCTCTTTTAATGAGTGCAATAACTCGTTTTTTAATTAAAAGTGCCTCTGTTTTTGGCTTAATTGAAAGGAGTTTTGAGAAAGTTTGGCGCGTAAGTAACCATTGGCTTTCGATCACTTTAGAGAGAATAAACGACTTGATCACGGCATTAAAACCATTCTGTAAGATTACTTAAAGTTATTATATAAAAGCAACCTCGTTCCCAGGGTTCTCTCCTACCCGCCCTACGGAGCGGGTAGGAGAGAACCCTGGGAACGAGGTTGATCTAAAAGCAATAGACTACACTTTCTGATGGTTTCCCGGCGTGATATCCCACGTGGGATGCTGGGAAACAATAGAAAAGCTTGTAAGTCACTCGCCGTCGGCTCCTGATTTACAAGCTTTTCTCGCGTTCTCCCAACATCCCGCGTAGGTTGTCACGCCGCTAAACCCATAGAAAGTGTGGTCTATTACCACAAAGTAATGAGTAAACCGATGACATTTTTTTTCACAAAATGATACGTGGAGAAAAAGTTAAGGGGCAGTAATACATGTCCCTCTGAAAACGCTTCGTTAATTAGGGCACCAGTCCCAGTCCCCATTTGTGTTGTTGAAGTTCGAAAATGTAACATTCATGGCGGCGAAAAAAAGGGATAAATATAGAATAATGTTTGTGCTCCGAGACATTCTTAAAAATAATGACCGAGGTTGTTATTTATTCTGAGAGGGCCGAGGCGCGAGGGTGTTACCAAATTTAATGCACCGTTACAAGGGAAATGTTAACTAAAAAATGAAAACGATAACTTTTCTAAAAACATTATCGTTATTATGCAAAACGATTACAGTATACAAGTATTGTTTAATGTTTTCACCAATTCATTCGGATAAAATCCATTTTGAAAAAACATTGAGAGCCCTTTTAAATAGCTTGGGTTAAAAATGTTCTATATAATGCGTAAAAAAATCAAACTTTATCTTTTCATTCACATTGATTTTGCGATTTCTGCCCTGCTAAAATCAAAATTCATGCGGGTGGAAAATCCCCAACCCCTATTAACTTTTGTTACTATATGGTTCGACCCTTATTCATGAAAAATAAGAGCCTTCCTTGTTAAGTGTTTGTCAAATTTGTGTTTATGACAAGAGCAAACTATTGTTGTGAAGTATTTTGAAAGTTATTTTTAAGATGATCTATCTCATCCACTAAGTTTAGTCTTTGGGATTATTATCAGCAGCTGGCCAAATGGTGTTATATAAATTTAATAAATAAAAATACGTAACTATGTAAATTTATAAAACAAGGTAAAAATATTTATCAGTGGCTGGCATAATGAAAACAAAGAGCATTGTATAATTTTTTAATAAAAATACATAACTTTAAATTAAAATAAATCGTTCTAAATCTATAAAGTTAAATCGATTTAAGACATATATAGTCGCTGAATCTATTTAAGCTTAAATCGGTTTAAGAGTTAGTCGTTAAATCTATTTAAGGTTAAATCGATATAAGCTTGAATCGTTTTAAGACTTAGTCGTTAAATCTATTTAAGCTTAAATCTATTTAAGCGTAAATCGATATAAGCTTAAATCGATTTAAGAAATAAACGACTAAGTCTTAAAACGATTTAAGCTTAAATCGATATAAGCCGCAATTCTTCCAACCGATGGGTTTAAACGCCAAATTTCTGCGCAAAAAAAGGCGCGTCGCCTTGTGCTGGTAAACATTCTTGTACCAGCTCAAAGAAGAACGTTTTAAAAGCTTTTTTTGATCGCACGTTCTATTAAAAACAAGCCTGTAAACTGTCAACTATGTATTAAAGGAAAGCAAAAACGTTATTTTGTGTGGAGGTTTTAAAACCATACTCTGATTTACTGAGCCATTTTGTGTTGATGTAGGTGACAGTATCCCTTGTGCTGCTGATGCCATTGGTATCTGGTTCAGTTGCTTGGCCATCAGCTGCTGGAGACGGCGCAGATTTTGCCAGGGCCAAGGAATACATTAACAGACGCAAACCGAATTTAGACTACACCAAAATCTGCGAAGGGAGGCCAAAGGAGGGGCAGATGAAAAAGGTTTGTCATCTGAAAGACGTGCCAAGCGTGGCCTTCTTGTTCTGCAAATACCATCTGCAATGTGAATTTTACATTAAAAAGGAGGTTGATAACATCCAGAAGCTTATTGCTGGGGGCGTTAGAACGGTGGAGATTGATAACCAATTGATCCAGGACGTCAAGTGTGGAAGTGAGATCGCCCTTACCTGTACTGGATTCTTGGAGGGATGGGTTGGCGGAGGTTGGTTGCAGCGTCTGGACACTTTATTCTTGGGCGGTAAGGTTCCTGTCGAAAACTTGATCAAAACCATCCGGAAAAGGATCCCAACTTCCCAAGGTCTGAAGGCGACGGCCAAGGATCTGATAAAGATTAAAGCTTTCATGTTTGCAGGGAAATCTATTAACTTGATTTGCGATCTACAGGGCTTTTTCTTGACAGCTGGAGGTTTCTTGGTCAGCGATCCTGAGGACATTAAGACGCTAAAGGACCTGGAAGAGAGCTGTCCCGCCTATGACCCTACAACTAAATTGCCGACCGCGAAACAAGTCCGCTATGGATTGAAACTATTAATTGAAGATTTGTCGAAGGGATGAGAGAAAAAAATTCGGATGATGATCTTAATTTTAATCTGAATTTAACTCCAATTTACCTGGCCTATTCTCTTGGAGCCTTTCTTTAATTTGTGCAAGAAATAAATGAAAATGTTAAGTGGATGCATGCATCGTTGGTTTCATGTCTTGCAACTTTTAAAAGTTAAAAGGGGCTCGCTATTTACTATTTTTTGGGTTAACTATAGTTAATAGCGTTTGGCATCAATTGAATTTTAATGGTCTAGGCTTGTTATTCAAGATTACATTTTGGTATTGAAACGTTTTAGTGTCGCTTGTTGTGACGGATGGCAGGGATGGACATATATGTTTATTGAGCCAACTTTTTTGATATGCCTCCAAAAACAAACACAAACAAAAAACGTGGCATTTAGTTTGTATAGAGAAAAATTCACAAGAGTTTCTACGTTTCAATGTGCTGCTCTTAACATTATTTTCTACACGCTCTGCCAAAAAAACGGACAGATGAACTCATGAGCAAAATTGACTTTTATTTGCTGATTAAATACAAAAATTCTCGAATCTGCAAGAATAAAAATGTGCTGTTTGATTGGCTAATTTACCACAGGCCACATCCTCGCAATCCTAGCCTTCGAGCAAGCTCTCCTATTTAGGCTTCGCCGCTCGCTCTCGCGCGTTCTCCCGAGACTCACTTCGCTCGCCCAAATAGGAGAGCTTGCTCGCAGGTTATCGCAATCCACACTTTTGTGTGAAAAAAAAATGACTACCGGTACTTCATGGGTACTTGCAAACATATCGAGGAAGGTGTCGTCCTAAATATTCATAGTTCGTCACACAAAACAATATTTCGAAACACTTTCATGGTAAAAATGAGTTGAACGTTTGATGTCGAACCAAGAAAGAACACGAAATTCACGTGGACGTCCCTTTCTGAAGCATGAAATTGAACATGCTTGTTGTAAGATAAGCGTGTAGTTGATGAAGGACAATCCTTATGACTTGAAATGGAACTATTTTCTTTACCAGAGGTTTTGTCCCTCACACAGAAGGCCGCTCTGCTAATGAACTGTTTATCCTTATCCTTCCTCCGATCCATAACCTGGTTTCAGTCATGGCTGACCTGGCCAACACGAGTGTTCTCAGATGATTTTATCTTGGATGTGCGATGATGAGACGAAGCCACATCTACTCGTGTAGAGAGATTCCTCCAACAGACTAGTCTAGTGATGAGTGCACGAAATTCAGCTATCCTTAAAATATACACTACAAAATTGAGAAAAGAATTGCTCAAATGCAAAAACTTGCTCACTGAGGAGAGATAAGAGAGCAGTTGAAATCTCTTGAACAGGCACGGACGACAAAGATTAACAATGCTTAACATGATTGGATAAGGCAGCCCTGTAAAAACGAAAATCACGGTGGCTATGACGAGTGTGATCGCTAAGCGCTTGTCTTTTTCTCTCACAGTTCTGTCGGCTCCAGAGACATCGCTGCTTCTTTCCAATCTCACTTTAAGCCACAGTATGATATAAGTAGTGACAACGGTAAACATTAGACCCTGAGGTAACAACCTGTACATATCGAATAGCGGCAAAGAGGCGACCATTAACGCTAAAATCCATGGTATTGCGATAAATGCAAAGTACATCTTCGGTGAAGTGACCCTGTGAAGAATGGGCCAGCCTATTGCAAACAGCCTCTCAAGTGATACTGCCCCCAGAGTAAATATAGAGGCCAGTCCTGGCAGAAAATCAAAGAACCAGAACACGGCCCTTCTTTTTACAGTGATTCTGACAGCATTGAGCATTCCAGTGGTGTAAATTGGTATCGACATGGATCCCACCATGATATCGGCACATGCCAGTGAGATTAGCAAATAGTGTGGAGGCCTTCTGAGTCTTGGTTGGGAGAAGGCGGTGATGGTGAGAGAGTTGAAAACAATCGTTAGCAGCCCAACGATCGCAAGGCAGACACTCCAAGCTATGTTTCCTGCTGATGGAGGAGGCATGCTCGATAAGTAAAATTGTGGAGACACGACGCCTTGGTAGGAAGTTGTGTTGTTGTTGATAGACATGCTTGCTCATCTAACCTACCAGAAAACATAACAAACTCGCTGTAACGAGGACAGTCAAATGTTACTAGCACCAGCAGGTATTTCTATTGTTGCACGATTCGAGAAGACAGCAGCTATTCCAAATGGGCCAGAATAGGCGCCTTTTTTGTTGTTAGAAAGACGTTTTGAGGAACAAATCTTCGTAACGATTCTGAACCGACTCCCGACACATGAACCAAACGTTAAAAAGCTATCTTGTCTTTCTCAACCAATAAAATTTACGAACAATAACATGCCATCCGTGTAGCAACATGAATTTAACTTATTTTTACAGATCAATGTAGTACAAAAAACGGTTTCAAGATGCCATTCTTTAATGAAACTCAGTTCGTGCATTTGGCATCTATAATGGTATTTACCTTCTCGTGCACACTTCCACGACTAAAAAATACAAACAATGCATTCACAAAGTGGGAATCAATTTATCGGATTCTGAGTGGCCAAGTGAGGAGATTATTTGAAATTGTCGACAAGAACAAGAGGAAAAAAGCAGTCATAAAGAAATGACGTTGGTCTTACGTTAAACTGGCCGCTGAGTAAATATGACTACAGGTTTTCAAGGATTTCGATAAATTGTCATCTATCTTAGTCTAGTCTTGTCATCTATCTTAGTTCTTAATTTCTCAACGTTTTTTGTTTGTTTTTTTTTTTTTTTCTCGAAAACATACACAGCATTTCCCTTATCCTGTTAGGCTTCGTTCATTTGCAGTTTTAATTATTCCATCTCCTACTGTTTTACTTACTACTCACTTTTTGTCAAAGCAGATCGATAGCCGAAAATGTTCCAAATCAGTCTAGTGTATCCTGATGCATTTCAACCAGACTGTCAATAAATAGACAGGCGAATAGCGCGCAGATTAGCTTTCCCGATAAAGATCATTGTGAAAAAGCTCTTCAAAACCCAGGACAAAGAGTCCCTCAAACAATGGAGCGATGGAGAACGATAATGATAATGATATTTTGTATTATTTAAAACCCCTTCAGTGTAGCCTGCATGGCAGGCGTTAAAAGGGGAAGGGAGAATTTGGGCGCGCGAGAGCGCGTTCCCCTCGTTCCTCCTTCCTCGCGCGTGGTCTCGCGCCCTAATTCCCTTCCCCTTCCCTTTCGAACGCCTTTCACGCAGGCTACCTCACATGTAATCGACCTATTAGTTTCCTGAAAATCACAGAAACTTTCAAGCTGTTTGTTCTTACAAAAGGTCAACATAGAAAGCGACTGTGGCTTTGTTGGACAGCTCTAACCAAACAGGGCTTCAAAACAGTTGGTTCCTGCTCCCAATTTATAGGTGTCGATAACTAGCGACCAAATGCATGTTAAGGGAATAGACACATGCTATTAACACTCAAAGAGCAGGCCTACTACAGCCCTGCTACTAGGCGATCTCAGCACTAATTTTCCTTCATAACAATCCATAGGTAGTTCTTGTTTCTCAGGAATTAATGTCATTTCTTAGGCCCTATAACTGCACTTTGAATTTATTGTTTGGTTTCAAAACGAACAAGTTTTCACTTACTATGGTACTGTATTGCAATTCCTGTTTCCTCCAATTAATGTGGTGTAAAACACGGAAAATGTCGTTCTCTGACCGTGGAAAACAAAGAATAGCTTACTGAGAAGCTGCGAACATAATTATTGAGAGTAACTTCAATATCTTCAGGGGCACCCAACGACCGTTTTTCACTGCAAATGATGAGTTTGAAGACAGCCAGCTGCTCCTTAAAAAACACAAACATCACTCCCACATTAAGTTTTCCGACTATTGCATTTAAGGGAAAGAAACTTGTTTTTCGAACTATCACAATTATCAAGTTTAAATAAAGATGTCCACAAAGCACACATTCACCTCGTAACAACTAATCATTTTGGTGCTTCGAATAGCGTAATCTTCTTAATGTTAATAAAAAGAAGAGCTTTGAAGTGTCAACAACTAGTTAAGCCCTACTGATTGCTTCCGTACCGATATTAAATTTTACAGTATTTGCAGTTAGTGATACGCCAAAGAGGCTGTCGCTTACAGTTGAATTCGGGCATCACCTCTTACACCCTTTCGCTGAATTTGTTTACATTCTTGGTTCTTTTTTCTCTTTGTGTCGTTTGGGTGTCTTTAAAAACCCGTAAGCTGAGGCATGAAATAGAAATCTTACTAGTAAGCGAATAAAAGGCTCCACTCTAACAGGGTGAATGAATGACAAGGCAGATGGCGAAAAACAAATGATATATATTACGATAGCTGTTCGCGCACTTATTGGTCGGCAAACGTAGACAATAAAGGCGCTATTAAGGCACAATTGTCGTTTCCTTTGATAACGGAACAGCTGTTAATGCAAAAATGGCTGCCAGATTATTCTTTTGTTTAAATTAAAATTAGCCCAACTAGCCTCGCTTGAGATAAGGTATTCTTTTGAATTTTGTACTGGAGAACGAGGCTAGTTAGGCTTATTTAAATTGAGACAAAAGAATATTAATCTGCAGCCATTTTTGCATTGGGTGTATATTACTTGGTTTTGAAAGCAATACAAACAAGGTCAATTGCA